GGCCTAACAGGTTGGACCAGCCAGGACTGTCATATTAAAAAATTTCTTGAAATTTGTTTCTCTTTGTTAAGGGGAAGGCACCTCTCTTTGCCAATTTTTAAAGGAAAACTTTTCTTATTGTCATTAACCCTGTGAGTCCCAGAAATAAAATACAGATGGAAGTAGAAATGCAGCCAGGATGCCCAACAACTGAGCAACTTTTATTCCCTGGATGAAGAGTATCTTCTGCCTCATTTTTGGCCTCCTTCCTGGCCAGCAGAGTGTTTCAAGCCTTTCCCCAGGACAGCAATGCTTAAGAGTGTCCTTGGGGCTGCTAGCTCTTGCAACAAAGGGTTAGGAGAGTTAAAACCCTTCCCATTAGCTGGAGTTGTAGGCAGCAGCTCTCTCACCTCCTTCCTAATGTTTTTTCCTTGAAAACAGATGCACTAAAAATGCTTACCCCAGTGAGAATGTTCCTGTGTGTTTACACAAGTATATATGTATGTATGTATATACATGTAGCTGGTTACCAGTAGTAAAAGGACAATTAATCATGCTCTAGACTGACTGTTTTTAATACTCAGAGGCTATTAATCAGGAAACTGTTACCCTTTGAACAAGATGTTTATACAGTCAACACTATGGGTTGTTTTCTTTCCCCTGGTGCTAAGCTGCCTGCAAATGCAGAGAGGAAATCGGGTTTATTATCTCTTACTTTAGAACTTGGTGCTCCAAGTTTGACAACAATTTTGGCTGGAATTTGGAAGGAATGCACATGAGATGATGCCAGGTTCTCTTAGGTTTCAAGGGGACTTGGGTGTTCAACCCTCAAATCTCTGGAAGCATTTATGTGCCTAAAAGACATAAACAGGCGTGATATGCAAGTTTCAAAAGCACCTCCTTTTGCTGAAAAAAAAAACCCCAAGGGGAATCTAATTTCATTTTAATGTGACTAAAAGACTTTTAAAATCTCTCCCTAAATCTCTTGCGGGCCTTTGGAAATTTGTCCTTGGAGCCTTTCAGCCTAAAAGTTGCTTTTAGAGAAGGAATTATATAGTAAATTTTAATCCAAACTTTTATTTCCCACTGGAAAGAATGGCTCATATCCTGTAGTGAGTGGGAGGCCAGCGGAAAAAATCGAGGGGGGAAACTGTGGTGGGAGTGAGAGGGTGCAGAGGTGGGGCTGGATCAGCAGTGGGAGGCAGGAAAGGGCTGCTGGCAGCTGCAGGGTGAGCATGGCAGGAACCGGGGAGCCCCTGCAGCTGAGGAAACACTGTCTTGGCCTGGAGCAGGCCAGAGGGGAGTCACTAAGGGATGACCTGGGAGGAAGGAGAGGATGACACTGAAATCCTGCACAGGCAGGCGCTGGCGATGCCAGGAGAGCAGTGGGATGAGAGCACAGGACAATCTTGTGGGCAGAGCTGCAGAGAACTCCCTGTCTGTCCCCAGCAAAGCATGGACGCAGCCCTCAGTGGGGTTTTCAGCATTTGTGCTAGGAGATATTTCACAGCTTGTGAAGCTGATGGGAACAGGAGTCACCCATCTGTACATGCTACTGTGACCACCCCCTTTGGGGAGTTTTGGCTCCTTTTTGGCAGGGGCATACAGCTTTCCCTGACACTCTGTTTCCCTCACAGGACTCCACTTCCTTCCTTTCCTCCTGGGAGCTCCTCTCAGTGAATTAAACCTGAAGCTGTCGAGGAGCCCTGTTGCCCCTCAGCTGCCCAGCCAGCAGTGCTCCAGGGCTGGGCACCCTTGGCTGGCAGCACCCAGAGCGGGCAGCTCCTCTCTGTCCCCCACCCTGCACCTCCCATCAGCCCTGGGGAAGAGCTCAGGAGGAGAAAATGGGAAATCACAGCAGGGAGGGGAGGTGAGACAGGCCCTGCTGGTATTAACCCCTCCATAGCTGGTGCCTTCTCCCAAAAAACAAACGTTGAGTGAGGTGGGACAGGCATCTTCCCCTCTCTGAGGATGAGGCATGCAGCAAAATCAGAGTAGAAAGCCTCAGACAGCTGATGGGTTTGCTTCACTCAGTTCTGTGCTTAAGTTAATCTCCATATCTGATGAGAAACACACTGTGTGAAGAGATTCATCACTCCTTAAAAAAACATATGGGGGAAAAAAATTTCCTTTTAGGGAGCCACTTAATCGTAGGGATGATTGCAGTTAACACAGCACTTAACCTGGGAATATGCCACTCTCTTTTTATAGACTTCCATTTCACTTGTCTCTGGGGCAGCCAGTGAGCAGTGCTAGTCTGTGAAGGGAGATGGAATTGCAGGGGACAGCTGCCATCATTTTTAGGGTGTCTGAGAGTCAAATAACATAATTCTTCTCACAGGAGATTTTGAACAAGAAATGCACACAATCCCTTCAGAGAGCTCTCTGTTGCAAGACCTAGTGGGACAAGAATTGAGGTTTAACAGCGGATACCCATTGTAAGAGCTTTGCAAGGAATACAATCCCTTGCATTTCAGTGTTCAAATCAACCTTTTTTTTTTAATTGAGCGAGGGAAGCAGTTCTCCCCAGGAGCTCGTGCAGTACTGTGCATGAGTTACCTTTGAAGGACTCTGCTATGTCAAGGATAACAAACTATGAGAAACACTGCCCAGATCCAGCAGAAAAACTCCTCTACACCAGCCCCTCCATGGTGGCAGCTTTACAGTGGCCCATGTCACTGCAGTCCAGGGTGGGAGCAGTAAAGACTGCCCAGAAGAGGTGTCCCAGAGAGAGGTGTCCCAGAGAGAGGTGTCCCAGAGAGAGGTGTCCCACCTTTGCCCCACGTCAGGCAGTCCCCCCTGCACTCTCCCACGGAGGTGCTGGTGCCCCGGGCTCTGAGCACAGCAAAGTCCCTCAGCCAGGTGGTCTCCTGCCTCCCTGGGAGACCTCCATGTGTCTTGCTGCTATCCTGGTAATCCCAGCAATGGCGACGAGAAGTCCAGCTGAGAGGCAGCTGCTTACTCCTGAAATCATATCAAAAAATCCCTGCATTGGCTTTCTGCCAACACAGCCCCCTTTACTCCACCACTCAGCCAATCTCTTCCCATGACACAGGGGATTCTAGGGAAATGCAGCCAGGGCTGTCCTACAGGGCCTCTGAGCACTGGCATTCCCAGGGGAAAGGGAACTATTAGAATTAATCTGAAACTCCCTTCAGAACTCATAGTTGTCATAGGTCCAAGCAAGCTGTTGTAACAGAGTAAAAATGTACAGGTTGGTATGTCCACACATGCATATGAAAGTGAAGAAAATCATCTTATTCATTGCTCTGCTGAAGTCTCTGGAAATTCCCTTTGTTGTGAAACCAGCAGAAGGATCAGGCCCAGATTCTGTGAACACATCCCTAAGGCAGCACAGCACAGGACTCTAGTGCCAGCTTTTGATTGTACACTCTCTCTTCATTCAACCTAAATATAATCTGGAAATGTCAAATGCTAGTGATCTCAGAGGAAGGAGAGAGAAATACAGGTTAGTTCCTTATTGGTATTTGTATAAAGAAAACCCTCAACACATGAAAACCCAGAAAAGAAATTTTAAAAAATCAGTGGAATCTCTCTGTTTGATGTCAAGTGAGGCACTATTCATGAACCAAAAGAAAAAATTTCTAAAAACCATGACCTAGTACCTCTTAAAATCACAATTTAAAAAAACCAAATAAAAGCTACATTCCTATCTGCCCCGGGCTTTCCCCTTATTAAGCATGGAACACACCAAATACAGATTCATTTCCCCTGCCCAGCAGCATTGAGCACAGGAGATGGATGATTTTTCATTGGTACCCTCTTACAGCCACTGCCCCTCTGGGATTCCTCTGATGACACCAGAAATGTTGCACCAAACTCAGATATCAGACCAAATCTTTATTCTGTGGTCTTCCTCTTCTCAGTTAGATTGGTGTAAATCAAAGGTTTAAACTGATCCTAACCTGTTCAGTGGCACTGGAAGACTCTGGATTAATATCAAGCAAAGGCATCTGTCTCCTGCTGTTTCTGTGCCTGTGGTATCAATAGTGATTTTGAAAATTATTATTTCTATACAGTCTGTAATGACTTAGAAGGAACAGTTACAGCCTGTTGTGCAAATGTGAATAATACTTGCTTTTTAAAAATGTGGATTTTTCATACGACAGGAACTAATGGCCCTTTCAGAGCAGTTATGGTCTATCTTGTCAATTTGGTTTCTATTCATGCATGCTAAGTGAATTTTTATAGCTAAACTTGGAGTCCTTAAAAAGGGGCCTTATACTGGAAATGCAGATGTGACTTACTGTGAGTTGTGCTAGGAGATCATCCCTGCCCCTGGGGAGCCAGAGCCAGTAATCAGAATTCCCTTTTCCTGTGCACATAACACGACTTGCAGGCACTCTTTCATCTGCACTGAGGCAGGAAGGAGAGGCAGAATTAGCCCCTCATTACAATAATGTTTCTCACACTTTCTCCAGCTACTCTCTGCAGGCATTAGTAAGGGGGGCCTGGCTGCCAGAAATGCTGAAAACCTACATCTCCAGTTAAAAGAAACCAGAGAGCAGGGTGCTCAGTGGATCTGAAAAATCAGAGCCACAGAGCTTTAAACAAATGCTTTTATGCTCTTAAAAATATAAATATACAGACTCACCTTAACTTTACTCTCTACTGTGAGTGCTTTGTGGAAAGGAAATTGTGTATTTTCTAGACTGATTTCTCTTACAGCTTCACTGTAAACTGAACTGCGTCCATACATCAATATATTTACCTGTCTGCTTCACAGCTGGAAAGAAAATGAAGCCATCTCAATCACCTTCACATTCAGCAAAAGAGAAATCTGATTTTTTTTCCTCACTCAATGCCAATTAAAATGCAAAATGTGGATAATCTGATCTCCACTAAATATTCCAATCCCCTCCATAGCACAGAGTGGATATACCTCTATCCTCAGTGGCAACCTGAACCTTTTCTAAGACTGGGAAAAGCAAAAGAACAGAGACTGTACAGTCTTATTACTTATTTATTTAAAATGTTGTAGCCGTGCCTCCCTTCATCTCTTGGCTCCTTACCCAAAACCTGTGTAATGAGCAACATCACAGGGCCTGACTCCAGCAGACACGACACCTCCACTAAAATGAATGCGTTTATACTGATTTATGGCAGCCAAGGAGCACATCCAGGCAATACCCACCTCTCCAGAAAAAGGCACACCTCTGACAATGTCTTCCCAAGGTATTTCTCACAGATCCCATGCCTTGTGGAGTGGGAGCCATCCCCAGCCCAGCTCCTAATCCTGTCTCCATTGCTGCGCCGAGGGCTGAACCACCTTGTCCTGCTGGTGGAGGCTCTCCCCTGGAAAGGCACGGAGCCAAAGCTGGCATGAACTGATCAGATATGTACAAAGGGAAATCTTGACAGCATCTGTGAACAGAGTTTAAGAGAAAGGAACAAAATAATACCACATATGTTAACAGATTGAAATGGTAGCTATGGTGACCACGGACAGACAAAGAACAAACCATTTTGACTGAATTCAGCCAATTCTTTCCGACAACAAACTGCAAGTATAAAGCAAACTTTTAAAAATCCCTAATGAAATCATTATACCAAATCCATTCAGCTCTGTTTGGCTTGTTTGCTTTCTAAATTTCCATTGCAGCTATTACATTAAACCTATTAATCATTGATGTAGTCAAATAATTTCCACCAACTAAAAATGGGGATTTTCTCACCGTAAAAAAAAAAAAAAAAGGGGAAAAAAAATTAATTGATTGCATTTTCAAGGAAAAAATTAAAAGCAAGGAATAGTTATTGTAAAATGGCAGACATTCATAATTCAGGGCATTTTCTTGTGCATGAGAGAGTGTCTGGGTTTTGTAGAATATGGGCTTGTTTATAAAAGTTGGATTACTTTGCCCATCCTGATATGCGTCGTAGCTATGAAAAATTACTGTCCTGTTTATTGTGTATCACAGTGTCAAATCTCTCAGTGTCTCTTTCCCCCAGTGCGCCACGGAGCTGGAGCTCTCCCATTGAGGGCTGGCCAGTTGTGCCTAAGGGAACTGAGCTGAGGACAACGTGGGAGAGCCAGAGCTGAGCTATGGAGGAGCAGAAGAGCTGCCTGCTAAGAGCCAGCAGCAAACAGGCAGGCTGGAGATGGGGAGGGTTACTGCAGAGCCAGCACAGCATGAGGCTGCTCCAATGCTGTGCAGCTGCTCCTTTGCTTGCAAACTCCCCCCAGGAGGCTGGCAGGGACCAGAGGAGCCCCCTCAGTGAATGTCAGGGTGGAGGCTCCAGCACATGGCCGGCTGTGGAGCATCCAGGCACACCTGGATGGGGACCCCAGTGCTTGCTTGGTTTCAGTCTGGAGACTGTTCCAGCACCCGTGAAACAGGAGGTGCTGCCCCTCTTCCCTGTCCCTGGCCCCAGCTGTGCTCACTGGGGAAAATCTCAGAGCACAACACAAAATCTTACTTCTAACCTGTGGCAAAGCTGCTGTCATTTCCCTGGCTGAGGGCTTAATATTTAACTCCATGTGCTCGGTCCCTTTATGGACTGCACAGTTCCTAACAATATGAATTTGCACTGTAGCTGTGCTTTTGATGTTCCAGGAGCAGTAACTTCAGCTTTCTGCAGTGCACAGACACTCTCAACTCCACTCTCACATTTCCATCTGCACAAGCTCATCGTTCTTTAAAGAACAAAACAAACCTAAAAAGCAAACTCACACGAAGTGCCCACCATTCTAACGCTGCTCTCTTTTATCTGTGTGCTGACAGAGGCTCTGGCTCAGCCTTCTGCCAATTAAATTAAGCTCCCAGCTATGCCATCGCTGCCTGCGTGACCATGGGCACTTTCCCCAGCTGCCTCTGCAGCAGGACTGGGTTTATGGCCTTTCCCTTCTGCTGAGCCTGGCCCTTCCCTGTGCTCTCCACCCACACTCTTGGCTTTCGCTCTTGCCAGCGCCCAGGGCAGGTCCCTGGGGACTGGGCTGGCTCTGTAGGGTCCCTGGAGAGCAGAGCTGAGCCAGGATGAGCACATGAGGGAGGAGAGCTGAGCCAGGGTGAATACATGAGGGAGAGCAGGGCTGAACCAAGGTGAGCACATGTGGGATAGCAGGGCTGAATCAAGGTGAGCACAGGTGGGATAGCAGGGCTGAACCAAGGTGAGCACATGAGGGAGAGGAGAGCTGAACCAGGGTGAGCACATGTGGGATAGCAGGGCTGAACCAGGGTGAGCACATGTGGGATAGCAGGGCTGAATCAAGGTGAGCACATGTGGGATAGCAAGGATGAGCCAAGGTGAGCACATTTGGGATAGCAGGGCTGAACCAAGGTGAGCACATGTGGGATAGCAGGGCTGAACCAGGGTGAGCACATTTGGGATAGCAGGGCTGAACCAGGGTGAGGACATGTGGGATAGCAGGGCTGAGCCAGGGTGAGGACATGTGGGATAGCAGGGCTGAGCCAGGGTGAGGACATTTGGGATAGCAGGGCTGAGCCAAGCTGAGCACATGTGGGAGAGCAGAGCTGAACCAAGGTGAGCACATGTGGGAGAGCAGGGATGAGCCAGGGTGAGCACATGTGCTCCTGTGCTTTGTACAGGGACACAGGGCAATCTGTTCTGTCCTGCACAGCCTCACCTGCTCAAGACGTTTGCTTTTGCTGCACCTTAAGTGTGGCAAGGAGAACATGGAGGGGGGGAAGAGGGGAAGAAATAAGCATGTTTTCTTTCTGTATTGCCGGCAAACCGTAAAGAAACAGTTACTTTAATTTTATGTGCAGTAAACCCTCACTAGATGGCTCCTTACAGCAAGTAAATATATTCCCCACAGAAGGAACGCTGCTGTGGCAGTCTGTGTGAGAGCAGAGACAGCGTGCTGCTGGCTGGGCTGTGTGGCTGGCAGAGTGCTTTGCATGGAGAAGCAGGATATAACACGGGGGTGTGGGTGAGCAAGGGAGCGCTCACACGAATTACGAATGACACCACTCTGCCTGTCGTGAACTGTGAGTCACATGGGCACCGGTGTCTCAGGCACATCAAAAATGCAACTTGCCCTTTTCTACAGGTTTTTCTTTGAATTTGTTTCACATTCAACTCTCTAATTCAGAACGCAGAACTGGGCTGTGGTCAAGGGTACCAGCAGTGGAGATCCTGCAGCAGAAACAGCTGATCCCAGCGGCCAAGGTAACAGATGGTATTGAAGTTGAACCCCCTAATGTCATGTAATCACTCCTAAAAAAAATAAGCAATGCTTGCTTCTGAAATGCCCCCCCATTACCATCACGAGAACATGTTATTTATAATGTGTGTATTGGCAGGATGTTCTGGGCAGAAGAGCAAAAAGAAATGAGCTGTCATCTGCAGTTAACCTCTCATTCATACATCACTGTGTGCTTTCAGTGGTTCAAGGTTATGCAAGTTGATTGTGCCCTCATTAACGAGCAGTGTTAATTGGTGTCTATCCTGCATTGAGATAAACATGTATATTATGTGTTAAAAGTACTGCAGGCTGTGAAGCAGCTGTATGGTATACAAATGTACAGGTCCCTACATAGGAAGCTGCAGGGAGAGGCTGTGAAATGCTAGGACTGATTTAAATCCACCAGCGACTCCAGTCTGTGCAGCCCACGTCCCTGCAAGACAGCCTGGTGCTGGCTCGAGGGCCAAGTGACTTCTGCTGGCAGAACTCTGTCACTGTGTGTGCCCCCAGCTCCCCTCTCTGGCTCTTGCTGCAGCCCTGAGCACGCTGCCTGCAGCCCACTGTTCAAGGTGAATTAGCAGTGATTTTAGTTTCCCTTAAGCCCCGAGGCTGTAACCTCTGGCCACGAGCAGCTCATGGGTGGTTTGACCACCAGTGCACCAGGGCAAACACACACAGAGGAAGGTGCTGTCCATCTCCACATAAACTGCCCCTGCTCAGGAGTCAGATGCAGTGGAGACAGGTCAGCTCCTGGTCTCTGTGTCAGCAGCCCTTAGGGCTTTATCTGGCCTCTTTTCTCTCACATTTCCCTCTGCTCATGTGCTGGCATGGTGCAAACTCAAACTGAGCTCATGTACACAGAGTCTCACCTGTGCCGGTGAGGGACAAAAACAAGGTTTGACATTGTGTCAATCTTGCACATCATGAAAAGACCTTTTATTTTTTCCCTGAGAGCTGCTGAAAATCAGCACAGATAAACACCCTGGTCCAGATCATAATCAACACACAACATTGATGAAAATATTACTTAAATTAGAGAATTATGGCAATTACATTAAATAACCTATATTATATTATAGAATATTATAAATTCTGAGAAGAATTGAGTTACATGTTTCATAAGCAAGCACAACAAGCCATTCCAGGCCAATGCAAGAATTTACAAATAAAGTAATATTTGATCATCTAATTAATGGAGCTGTTATCTGCCCAGAACAAGCAGGGCTTAGAGCTTTTAGGGTGTTAAACACTTTGTCTCAATGCTTAAAAGCAGTAGCACCCACCAGACCTTTCCTTTTCTCAGTAGCGTTCCCTTGAAATGCAGTTGTTTACTTCAGGCCTTGAAGGCCGGATTAAGAGTGGAGATTGTTTGCTTTAAATTATACACACAAATTTTATTGCCATTCCTCCTGCCACTAACAAGCTGTTTAATAAATGTCAAAGTGGCAGAGCTCACCGACTGCAAAAGTGAGAGGGTCAAATCTGTGAATCCAGAAATAATACTGAGATTTTCCTCTCCTTTCATGAAATGTACTTGCAGCACACAGCATTGAAGTGCTTCCAACTTTCATAGCAACAAGGAGAAGCAGCTCATGAGTCAGCCCAAAGAGGAAATATGTCATTAGCCAGGGAGTTTTCAACATATGCAAAACCATCGACACGTCTGTGGCATCCAGGGAGGAATTTTTATAATATTCCTTGTAGTCAGCATTTTATTGCCAGAGCTGTGGGTGTGGCTAGGTATCTCAGTGGCTGAGGCTGTGATTGCTCCCAAACTCACTGAGCATTTCACTCCACAGCGCTCATGCTCTTCCTTTTCAAGGCAGGAAACAGATGAGACATATTTGTTTTCGATAACTGCTGGAAAAACCCAGCTAAGTCCTGCTGGTTGTACCTTGAGTTCCTCTTCATCCTTCATCTCGTGCTCACGGCACCAAGGAAGGGGTAGGGCTCTTATCTCAGCTCTCTGCAGTTCCAGCCCTTCTGGAACTGAATGAAAATAAACACAAAGGAAAAAAAAAATCAGCTTCCTACATTTCCTTGCCTGTGTAAATTATGCATCACACTCATTATAGGAAAAAGGAAGATGCAGATTTGTAAATCAGTCGTGAGTTTTTCCATATTTCTTAAAATTATGCAAGTGTTACAGCTGCATACACAGGGGACTTTCTTTTTTCATGCAGCTTTACACCAAAATAAAGGCCTCAGTTGTTCTAGTGGGTGATTAGGCTCAATATTATGCCTCTGGGAATGGGAAGCACAGGAACTCAGAGGAACAGAAAACTTAATGAATTCTTTATTTGAAGAAGAAAAAAATTTTCAAAATGTTTTCCAGAGCTTACAGGAGAGATTCAGAGGCTCCTCCCTCTTCAGAAAAATGCAGCTCTTCCAGGTGAAAAAATTAACCCTTGTCTGCTCTCAGCTGCCCCTCACCAAAGGTTCCTTGCCCTCAGAGCCCAAGCTGAGCTGTACAAATTCCCCCACTGGCTCAAATGAAGTCACCAACCCCTTTACTGGATCTTTTCACTAATATGGCTCACACTGGCACATCTCCCTGCGGGACTTGGGACTCACAGTAGGATGACTCAGAAACCAATCTTGAGTTGCTCAACAAGCTCCAGGAAGACAAGGAATACAATCAGTGAGTTTGCATATACTCACTTTGGAGGGGGCTTGCAGGTGGTCCATGAGCCAGGCTTAGCAGGCCCCTGATTTGGACAAGCTCCCGCATCCAGGTCTGAGCCAAGAACATCAGACCTCAAAATGGAAAGCACTGCACCACAGGACAAAGGGACAGCAGCCCTGCCCCAGCAGGAGCAAATGGGAAATATCCTTCTCTGGAAACACCTCTGGGTAATGGGGGCTTTCCTGATGTTGGCGTGGGTTGTTTTTGGATTTTTTTTTCCCAATTTGAATATTTTATGTAATGGAATAAATAAAAACAAACCCCAATCTCAGGATTGCTTGCAGAGCAAACTGGGCAGCGGGCAGAGCATCAGTGAGGCAGGGCAGCAAATCCCCACTGTCACCCGGAGGCAGAGCCTCCTGGTGCTGCTGGGCCTGTGACACCTGCCTGGGGACAACACCAGAGAGGCCACAAACCATGACAGTGAGACACCACTGGAGCTGTGGGCCAGCCTCAGCTCCCAGCAGTCCAGCTGAGGAATGTCCTGCATCCAGGGACTCCCCCTGCTGCTGCTGGGACACAGCACTGCAGCACTGAGGGGCTGTGTTTGACAGCAGCACCCATGGGCTGAAGGTAACCCTGCCTCCAGCCCTGTCTACAGCAGGAGGCGAAGACACAATGGTAAAAGCTGCCCACTGTCTTATTTTATCCCTTATACAGATGACCCTAAATCAATGAGCTGTGCCTGATGCTTCTGAGTGCACTCAAGCCTGCACATAAAAGAGGACTGGCAAAATAATCATGTGGCGAAATGCTGAGAATAGTAGAAGTGGTCACCCAGTGTATCCAGGCTGCTAAGAAAGCTCTTTTGATTAAATCAAACACAGAGCACAAGAAAAATGCTCACATCATACATGATGGTGTCTCCTGGGCTGCCTTATACTGAGATGAAAAAGAAGAAATTACCCATGCAAAACCCACATCATCCATAATCTGCAAAGCATTTGGACACAGGGAGGCCAGCCTTAATTCAAACCATGTGTGTTTGGCTTTAAAACCAGCATCAGCAGGACTCAGCCAGCCTGTGTGCCATCCTGCCTGCCCTGGATTCCCTGCTTCTCCCTCATATTCAGCATTTCTTTCCATGTTCACAGCTGAATCACTCTTGCATCAGCAGCATCACCATGGGCAGTGTTCCTTCTCCAGGGCAGGCAAGTGGCAAGACCCCCAATCCAATCCTGCTCTGCTCGAGCCCTCAGCAGCACAGGATCTCTTCTAGGATACTGTGTCAGATTCCTGCAGGGCCCTGTGCAACGTTTGGGTTTTTTTTTTTTTTAATCCTAAATTAAAACTTAAGCTTCAAAGGCAGAGATCTAGGGGGGGTCTCTTCATGCAGACACTGTATTTCCTGGAACAGATCCTTTAATTTTGTGGTGAGCTGGAGTTGAAGACATTTGTATTCAAATCCTTATTTAGGCTCTAATGCTCTTTAGTATTGGATACAGGGATTTTAGACTGGAAATGGCACTTTTGACTTTACTATCACCCCAAACAGACAATCACATTTTAAGCTGCTATTTTTTTTCAGCTTTCTTACACTGTTCTCCACACTCTCCCAGAAACTGTAATTATTCTGCCACATCTACTCGACTAATAAAATTTATTCTGTTCTATGTTCTTCCCTCATTTTCTTCACAAGTCTTACACCATCAAATAAAATCAAGGTTTTCATTTGTAAAGTGGTTATCAGCAGCTCAGCTTTTACTTACAGTTCTTTGAACAGGCTACAGGGATGGTAGATGGGTAAAAATGTAATGCAATAGCATGTACTGTGGTGTAACCACCAAGCATCACTTTCTATGGGGTGTCCCACAATACCTTCTTTTAGGGGGGGGTTGGCCCTAGAGATGATAACAGTACTGGTTCCAATAGTTTTGCTGGATGTTAAAAATAGGCATGATCTAGTTGGTGTTGATGTCACTCATGCCAGCTCACCTCAGTGTTTGCAATCCTGCCTGAACACAACAGGATTTGTAATCTCCATGGGTCCTTGCAGAACAGCCCTCACTCAGGGATCTCTCAGGGCTTTACAAGTTCACATTGTGCTTTGTATGCTGCCTAAAATCCAGAGGGATGGAGAGCACTGGGCTAATGATGAGGCAGGGCAAGTGCAAGACCACATCCCTCTAAAACCACAGTGACTGAAACTCCCTCTGAAGGATTGAAAGCATTTAAAATCTCACCTATGCCCAAAAAAATTATGAATATTTTGTGAATATAAACAAAATATTTGTTTGAATCTCCCAGTTTATTCCAAGATTTGCTCATTTTTTTTTGCATTGGTGGCTTTAGGAGCAGCAGCTTTTATAGCTGTCCAGCAAAGGATTCATTCTCAAGTGTCCCTTATATGCAGCTGAGCCTGTGGTGTCCATAGAGAGCCATGCACCTCCTCCACTCTCAAATGTGCAGGTTTTTTTCTCAAATGTTCACACCTAAGCTGGGATGCATGGGTAGAGCCTCCCACTCACCAACTCTTAATTCCCAGACCTGGGGCCTGGGAGAGTTTTGTTTCATAGGCTGGTATTGCTCCTGCTCTTAAAACAAACAAACAAACAAACAAACAAACAAAAAACCCCAACAAATCCAGCATTAAGGATGAGCTTGAAATTTTCTGTACATTCCCTTTACAGAAAACAGAGACTCCAAAAAAACTGGAGAAGAGGGGTGGAAATCAAATTTCATTCCCAAAAGGCAACAAGACAACATCCATTTATATAGTCTCACATTCCCTCATCTAAAATCAATAACACCCCCAAATAAATAAAAGAGGCATACCCATTCAGTAGATCTGGGGAATACTGCTAAAAAGGAGTTAGGAATATTATTTCATATCCTCAGCATATGGATGCACATTGCTCTGGGAGCAGCTCTCCATGAGCACTCCAGCTAACAAGCCTGCTGCAGAGCAGTCTGAGCAGCAAATTTTGAAAGAAGGCTCAGAAAATATTCCCCAGAAGACAACTTGGAATAACTAATCATAAAAAAAATTCACACTGGACAGCTAATTTAGGAGCTCAGATCATCCTTTCAGTAGCTGGAAATATAACAGTGGATGTGCTTGTCCAGTCAGAGCAGATGTGTGTGACTCAGAGCCGCCCGCTCGGGAAGTGTCGCTCACCCTGCACTCAGAAAAGTCCGGAGTGAGAGCAAGAGTGAGTGTGTGTGTGTGTGTGTGTGAGTGTGTGTGTGTGAGGGGCTTCCCTGCAGCACATTATTTACTGTGAATTACTTAGGCAGCCCCAGATTTTATTTGATAATTTTTCCCTTGATGTGCCCCACAGAAAGGCAGTGTTAGCATTAACCAAAGCTAATCCACGGCGCTGTTGGGAAGGGGATTATTTTGCCAATGATTGGTTTCTTTAAACATGGACTTGTGATCAAAGCAATATGGTTCTGATTTTTTCCTCTATTTTTTAGCTTTGTAGTGTGGTTCTTCTAAATGGTAAGTTACTGCTATAAGCACGCTGTGAATTTCCAATATAGCAAAGCTTTAATAATTTGCAGCCATAATTGTTCCTGCTTCAGTCTCCAATTCAATTTGGTGTGGAATTCCCATCTCCCAACACAAAGCTTAACTCAATGGTATCTGTGTGAGACAGACTATGAAACTAGCCTGGTATAATGGATTTCATTAAGGGATAGGCAAATTATTTTCATCTGTAATCTATTTTAAATGGAAAAAAGGGCTTTGAATAAATATTTTTCCTTCAAAAGTTATTAATTTCTGTGGGGAAAAAGAGGCATGGTTATTGTTGCTTATTTTTTCCTTTGTTTTCATAAAGGGTTTGAAAATTATTTTCTGGTTGAATTATTTATTTGGTTGAAATAACAAATATTTAAACCAGGGGTGGAAACAACCTATTTTTATTTTACTGTAGAGTCAAACTCTGCAAGGAGCTTTCACTTCTTTGCCTGCCCATCTGTAACCTCTCCTGATGCTAAAATCTCAGCTCAAGGACTGACATAACAAGCATCACCCATCTCCAGACCTCAGTAGCTATTTTTCTGCCTGTGTGTAGATGTAGTATCATCAAATAATTTTTTTAGTCCAGCCTGAAAGTAGAAAAGTGTGAAATTTTAGCACAGATATCTGTTTTTAAGAGGGAGCCTGTGTTGGCACAAGACCATTAACCCTAACCTGAACATGCACAGACTAATTCCACAGGTAAGTGGAAAGTCTTATTCAAGCCCTGCACATGGCAGTAAATTACTCCCTTGATGAATAAAAGCCATTACTTAGTATTTAGCATCATAGCAAGAAGCCTCTTCGGCCTGCTCCTAACAGAGATGTTACAGTTAATTT